CCTCCCGCAGGCCCCGCCCTCAGACCGCGCGCCCCGCCCCCGCCCCAAGGCCCCGCCCTCCTCGCGAGCTCGACCGCAGGGCTGAGGTCCAGCGCGTCGTCCCGCCCGCAGGGCGCACGGCGCGCGGCCTGGCACCTCTCGGACTCGGCACGCGCCGCCTCCTGCGGCCCCTACGGCGCCAGCCCCGGGGTCGAGTCCGAGAATACCCGAATCCGGCCGCTCGGCCGGCTCCGCCTCCTTCCCAGACCGCTGCGGCTTCCTGCGAGAGGTTGCCGGGCTGAGACCGCGGCGCACGGAGGCCAAAGCCGACCCCCCGGGACCCGAGTGCTGTGCACGCCAGGAATGGATGCCTAACGTCTGGGTGGGCGGTGGGGGTGAACTAGAACACTATCTTTCTAGCTTTTACTGCGTGCACGGTGTGGAGGAGATGCCCCCAGGGACCGAGTGCTGGCCCCCTTTCTCCTTTAAAAAAACAGAGACTCCGGTTCAGTTCTTCCGGCCCCGGGTCTTCGGAGGACTCCATGCTAATGAGTGTATTAGCAATCCAGATGACGGATGCAGACGGGATAGGCCGCTAGGACCCGGCCAGGCACCAATCCGAAAGCAAAGCTAAGGGGAGGTCGGAATGTTTGCTTACCTTTTCACCTGGCAGGAAGTCGGAGCTTTGACCCTGTTCACTGCCAACCTGGTGGCGCCAGACAGGGAACGTTTAAAGCAGGAGCTGGCGGTACTCTATTAAACCCAGAGAGTATTTTACCAGTAGATCACACAGATGGACTTGGATGCCTGTCCTTGGAACTGGTGGCAGCATAATGATGCGACTTCCGACCTTTTGATTATTACCCAATCGCCAGGAAACCCAATCGCTGCCTCCCTGGGGAGGCAGCACCCTCCCTGTCAAGACCAAAATCTGGCCTAAAAATGAGACACCTGCTTTCCGGGGCTTAGTGCTATTTGGAATTTGCCAGACAACCCCCAGAATATATCTTGACACTAAGATGTGAGAGTACCTGGGAGCAGAGCCGTTCTTTGAGCTAACACTGTGTCCATAATTACCTGCTATCTATACATTATAGAAGATAAGTTTGGGACACTTTTTCTTGCGTCCTGTCAGAGCAGTGAACCTAGAAAAAACAGCAAGGCTAGAGCCCTGCTGGAGCTGGAGGCCAGGCTCTTATCCTGAGCCCTGGTGGGCCAGAGCGGTCACCTCTTCAAAGTTCTCTGTGACCCACCCGGACTCAGGCCTGAGGCCACAGTGGAGAAGAGAAGCCCAGGATCTCACTCTGAAGACTGTCTACTCATAGCCTCACACAAGTAATGATTGCAAGTCATCTTCCAGAATCAAACTACTTGCCTCTTTCATCCCCAATGGAAGTTGAATTTTTCTAAACTCCATTATGTTACCTCTATCCCAATATGATACAGCTAACATGACCCAACTACTTCTCACCAGAGATCTATTCATTTAGCATTCCTAGGATAATCCTAAAACATGCATACCATGGGTCTGCATGTGTGATTTGTCTGGGCCATAGAGGATCCACAGTTGATGCTAAAATGTCTTGGATATCCCTAGACTTAAATGTCTCAGATTAGCCTTTAAATCTTTGCTCTGCTGCATAAACAATCATCTTAGTGGAGGGAGGCCCCAATTAAAACAAACAAACAAACAAACAAAAAAAGGCCCGAAAGGCCAGGACATCCTCTTTTTAAACCCTACCTCTCATCCAGCTCCCTCCCTTCTGATCTGGGCTGGCAGCAAGCCAGGCCACCTGGGACAAGAAAGTCCTCCCCAGGATCTAGACCTGTGTTCCCTGCATGTGGGCTGCACATGGAAACATTATCTCTGCATTTCCCAAAGGTTTAGGTAGAAAAGTTGTAGTTCACAACTTCTTTTTTACATTTCCCTTTAAGGCTGCCATGGAGTTAGAGCTGCTTTTCCATGTAATGTTTCTGCTGGCCTATAATTTGCAAGCCACAATTATTATAATGCTATAGTATTATGCCAAGAACTTCCAGAGTCTTGTGGGTCTGCTCAGCCCCTAAACACTGTATATAATTAACCCCTATCAACATCCCTGCAATCTGATGTTATTCCCAGTTTACAGATTGGGTGGCTGGCCTAAAGTGGTGTTTACTTGATTCAGGCAAGAAGTCTATGGGTGTTTTCCTTTGGGAACTTGTGAAGATGTACCTTCCAAGATGGAGTCAAAAGTAATGATTCTGAAAAGAAACAGAAAAATCTGAAGGAAGATGTTGGAGGAGCAGTATGTACAGTGTTTCTGGGAACCAACTGGTTGTAGGAAAATCATCAGAGCACTAAGAAGGTGGGCATACTCTGCTCAGAGATTGAGCCACCCCATTTACAGAGGGGAAACTGCATCAAGAAGCACAGTTGGAGTTGGTGCCCAGTCTCTTGACACCACAAACCCAACCCTCTGCAGTACTGTAAATAAATTATGCCCATCACCCTTGGCTTTTATTTTTTCAGATGTCAGAGAGCAAACCCAAGACCTTGTTCTTGCCAGGCAAGGGCTGTACTACTGAGCTCTAATCCTAACTCCTGCCTTGGAATTTGCCCTGTTTATGCCCCTCCCTTATGCACCGTCCCAATTTTCTCACTGAAAGGTTGTGTATGAATAGCAGCATTTCTGCTTCTGTCTCAGATTCTCCCATTAGACCAAGGGCAGGAACATGGTAGCTGCTTTCTCAGCACCTCCTTCTGGTACCTGGATAAAGATAAGGACATTTATAAAGGGACCCAAATGGTCCCACCAAACCAAGGAACTTGTTTGCTTCTTTTAGAAAATATCATTCAGTTTACCCTACCTCTCTCTCTCTCTCTCTCTCTCTTTCTCACTCTCTATGTCCTTCCTCCATGTTGTCTGTTTGAAGCAGGGTCTCATATACCCCAGGCTGGCCTAAGATTCATAAATGAGATATGTAACTTCCCAAAGACTAGGATTACAGATGTGTACCACCACATCCAGCTTTCTTTTTTATTTGGGGACAGGGTATTGCTATGTAGTTCCAACTCTCTGTGTAGACCAGGCTGACCTTGAAGAAATCCCTCTGTTTCAGCTTCCCAAGTACTGGGATTACAGGTGTATACTACCATGCCCAGCGACTTTATTGAATATTACTATCAGTCCCCGTGTATATACCAAACCTCAGGGGGGACAGGAACAATTCAAAGAGCAGGTGTATCTCTTCCCAGTAATTGATACAAGTGAAGACAAGAAAAGGACAGGATAGAAGAGGGGGGCAAAAAGAACTGTAGTGCTGTGGGGAAGAGAGGTTAGTTCTGAAGAGGAAAATGATGGTGGAGAGTTCTTTAAGATGATAACCTGAGATTGCCTTTGAAAAATGAGTGGCTTATTTTATTTTGAGACAGGGCCTCATGTAGTTCAGCCTGCCCTCAGTATACTGAGGATGACCGTGAACTGATGATCTTCCTGTCTCCACTTCCCAAATTGGGGTGGGGGGGCGCGCAGTGAACCACCTCAGCTAACCCAGATAAGGTCTTTGTTTCAGTGTCTCCTTGAATGACTCAGGAATTCCTCATACTTCACCTGCTCAAAGTGAAACCAATCATCTTTATGTCTTAGTTCACTTAGGGCTACTATCATAGCTCCTGGGAGGTGGAGGCCCAAGGATCATGAGTTCAAAGTCATCCTTGGCTAAGTAGTGAGTTCAAACCTGAAACAAAACAAAACCAAAAAAAGACAAAGGAATTCCAGGCAGAGGGCACAGCATAAGCAAAGGCATAGAAGCAGGAATATGGGGGGAGCCCCTGGGAGAACATGAGTGGTCTAGTGTGAGAATCGGAGTATCCGAGAATTTGTGAGGGCTAGAAATGGTGGGTAAAGGTACAAGGGAAGCTGTGCCCTGTCAGGAAGACTTCTTCCTCATTTTCAGGCAGTTGGGAGTCACTCATGATCTTTGAGTGAGGAAATTGCCTAATTTCTGTTTGCATTTTACCAAGATCATTTGGAAAACCGCATGAAGGATATATTTCATCAGGAGACAGAAGATAGAGCAGTCTTTTAACTACTTTGCTTGCATTATTGCATCTGCCTGTGCATTCTTTTAAATATTAACGAAAATTGGTACCAGAATGACTACACAGAAAGCACTCGATAGCAACTTTGGAGTCATGGAAGAATGCTAAGTCCTGGGTTCTGTATGACTCCTGGCTTGGGCCACTCATTAAATAGTGACCAGCCCTTGCCCAATCACAAGTAATTCTGGAGGAAAGATAAAGGAGCATTTAAAGGAAAAGGTGGTGACTTGGCCTTTGCCAGCTGCATAAACAGATGTGAAGTTCAGAGACAGAGCCTGGACTGGAGGCATAGATCTGAGGCAGCCGTCTAACATCCTTGACCCTTCTTTCCTTCCTACCTTATGAAGCCTATCAGCAGGTAGCCTGTGGCTTGGATTACTGCGTAAGTTTCTTGCCTCATTTCCTACTTTCAGCTCAGTACAGCAGCCCCAGCCCTATAATATGAACATGAATTCGATTGAGTTAATCCCTCTGCTCAAATCCCTCTACCCACACACACTGAGTACCATTTCCTTAGTGGTGAATGCCAGAATCTTTACAGTGGCCCGTGAGATCTCATGTGACTCCCCTTCATTTCCTGACCTCACTGTATGCTGTCCCCCTCCCCTGCTGCAGCCGTTGCTTTTCTGCTCTAGAACCCTCCATGCACACTCTTGTCTTAGGGATTTGGCAACACCCTTTGCCTAGACTTTTTTTTCCTAATCATTCCCATGCTCACCCCTGAAGCCTTTATTTAAATGGTACCTGCTCGGT